GGACGTCATCATGAGTTGGTTGACCGATATGGAATATCTGTTTTACAGATAACGACGGATATGTTCCAATTGTTGTAACCACAATTCCATCCTCTTTTCATCTGTGACCTCCGAATTTGACTTATCACCGGGTTTGTACTTACACGACGGGTGCCACATGTGGAGCAGGATCTGCTAACCCTTCCGCAGCACCACAGATCATCCCAAGTTTTTGGTGGGGTTTGTTTTTAGTGTTATATGTTATCTTTCATGTACAGGTGTTTGTCTTTCCGTCGTTTTTCGTTATTTACCATCGACTTAAGGGTTTGAATATTCCTTTGATATCTTTAGTTTTTCTTTTGATGCTATTCAAGTTGTTCATGAAAATGAATAAATACGAATCCGCATCCGGTCGAAATTGGGACATTACTTCTTCTAGGTAAAGTGCCGATCCCTTGCAACAACCCATCCAATGGTCCATAGGGGCTGTTGCAAGGCAAGCATTCTATCCAGAGGCCCGAAGAGTTCGTTTGAACTTAACATTATTAGCCACTAGTGTAGTAATTGTTTGCCAATTTGAAAACAATGCGGTCCTAGCAAGTATAAAAGTTTGTATCTTATTTTGCTTGTTGCCGTGTAATTTACACCTTTGATGTTTGACATAGTTTCTCCAAGTGATTTTTGTCTTGCCTTGAGGGAGTATGCTGCTTTCGACGGCGTTGGCGTTGGATTTTAAAAACTTTTACATTGTTTACAAGTAAAAGTTTGTGTTTAAGTAAGTGTAATGGGAACAACTTATGAGATGTCAACGGTATTCGGTATACAGTTTCACAAGCATGATAATTTCTCTTTCCATGGTTCATTGACTTTAAATGTTTTGCATAGTTTACATGTTTAAATACTGCCATTTTGGTTTTAAATATTTGCATTATACTATCAAAATTACAAAAAGGCGAGAGATATCTCTGTGTCAACAGTTTATGTTACTCTATTGATGTGATTCGCCCCCTCCCTCTCCCCCTCCCCCCCACAGTTACCAAAGTACGTTGACCCGATATCAATTTATGCTTAGTATAACTTTAACATCTTTTTTCCATTTTGATAAGAATGTGATGAAGAGTTACTAAAATGAATAAATGGACTTAGTACAGATTTTATGTACTTTCAGTTTCTTGTAACCAGATATGCAGTAGTAATAACCTTAACAGTACCAATTGTATTTATTTCGACAATCAATGTTTCTTACGTGATGCTCGAGGCCTAAATATTTAAAGTCCAAGGCGTAATACAAATAATGTACTATATTATTACCATACAAGTAAAAAAATTAGTTTGAGATTAGTGCCACACTAAGTCTTATAAAAACTTGAAAAATGTTTTCTGCTTTAAATTCGATCAGAATAATTGCAAAATGCAATTGCAGTCTCATTTAATTTTTAAACGATACCCTTGATACGTTTTCAGGTAAATTAGTAAAAGTATTTGGGAGGGGGAGAGTGTGGCGGGGCATTTATAAAAAAGGGCAACCTGATTGCACTGTAAAATAATTCATTTTTATCAGATCATTGTTGAGTGATAATTTTTTTAAATAATCATGAACTAAAACACTGAACATACGTTGTACATCGTGCAAAGAAGAAAAAAGAACGATAACCGCAAATGGACAAAGTAAACTACTATAAAAACATATATTATTACACTGCTATTTTTAGCATGAAAGAGTTTTCCGGAAAATCATTAAAAAGTTGCATAAACTGTCCAACATCCTGCTTATTTAAATTTGTTTCAATTTTGCAGATGAAAAAGGTTGTTTGTTCTTTATTTCACCTTCGGGAGATATAACTTTCAACGTTAACTCGATTGTTAAGTTTGATATTCTTCTTTGTTTCACTTTCGGGAGATATAACACTCAACGTTAACTCGATTGTTAAGTTTGATATTCTTCTTTGTTTCACTTTCGGGAGATATAACACTCAACGTTAACTCGATTGTTAAGTTTGATATTCTTCTTTGTTTCACTTTCGGGAGATATAACACTCAACGTTAACTCGATTGTTCAGTTTGATACCGTTTTGATGGACGAACTTTATGGTGAATATTTTTAGTCCGGTGACCTGCTTCCCTAATATACATGTTGTTCTGGACAATAATGACGTATGGTAGCAAAGTTGCATATACAGAACATCGAGTAGAGAACGCATTCAAATCTAGTTTAAGTATCGTACTGGCACATAGTCAGCGTGATTCAGTTACTCCGGGTATGTAAAGTAAAGAATTATGAACATGTCTAGATACAAACTTGTTCCAAAAATAGTGAAAATGTCTTTGACGACATTTTTGCAGAATGTTCGGTCATAGGATTCTTAGTCTACAAGCAATAAAATACATTAAAAGTTTTTGCGATTCAACATTTGAGAAAAAGCCTATTCCCCAGTTGTTCTAACCAATTATGACTTTGTCACTTGTGTTGACTTTTTGACTTAAATGCCTTGTTGCATAAACGTTAACTTGGCTTAAAACGTTAAATTGGCTTAAAACGTTTGCAGAGTTCATTGTTCCTTAATTTTAATGTGTTTATGTTTATCAGAACACCTAGAGACACATGTAAAGTCAATTCAAGATATATACATTAATTAATTATTACTAGCTTAACGTCCAGTGGTAATTATTTCTTGCATATTTAGGACGTGAGCAAATTAGTTGGTTATTTAATAGGTAAGTTCTAAAAGGTGAGACAACCAGTAAGAAGGGCTATGCATCTAAGGTAGGAATCTAATAAGAATAGAATACTCTTTCTGAGGCAAATGGGTCTGTTAAAGTTTTAATCTTAGATTTATATTTCAACTTGCAGAAAAGAAAGGTTAAATATGTATATACTTTAACTCAGAATAAGACCAAAAATAGCCTTTGAAAAATTTTCATAAGGAATCGAAAATACATAATGTTTGAAAAAGTAAAATATTGAAATTCTAAAAATGTCTAAGAGGATTGTCGTACCCACAATCCCGTCCTCTTTTTCTCGAATGTGACTAACCGAATTAGACTGATCACAGGTTTAATAATTACGTGAGAAACATGACGGGTGCCTCATGTGCAGCAGGATCTGCTTAGCCTTCCGAAACACCTGGGTCCACCCCCGGTGTTTGGTTGGGTTCGTGTTGCTCAGTCTGCAGTGTTCTATATTGTGAGTTGTCTACTGTTGTATATCTTTTGGTCGTTTTTCATTTTTTATTGCATGGCATTGTCAGTTTGTTTTCGACTTTGTTTGAATATCCTTTAGTATCTTTTGCCTCTCTTTTATATTACATTATTTAATTAAATTGAAAGTGTATAATATGATTAACGACGATGGTCATGATAAGTTTATATTATTCAAGGCTAAGTAATATTGGACGATTTTGTTCTCCGTAGTTGATCACATGTTCAACGCTAATTCTAGCCCAGTACATGTAGAATAATTGCCCAACAATAACGGACTAAGATAACTTACAGAACAAGAAGCGAAAAATTCCAACTACATGCATGTTCTGTAATGAGATAATGGACGTTCTCGTTTTAGATTAAACTATACTGACGTATTCTTTGAAGCTATATGACTGCATTGTATACGATTTAAATCAAGTATAAAGGTAACAATGGTATAGATTGTCTAATAGGTGTTGTAATGCAAGTAATATCAATTAAACTCTCATGTTCATGATATGTTATGCAACTTTACTTCAAGGAAAATGATAAACATTTATTTAACCCCGTATAAACGAAAAGTATCTTTGACATAAGCAGGATACAAAATAACATGCATGAAACTATTTTTCACAATCTAATCCTTCCGTATTTCTGATTAATGTTGACATTGTTAAATCCGCATACTTGATAAATGTTGAATTTAAAAGACTGTAATTATTTATGGTACTGTTCTTACTGATGTCACAAATTAAACATGATTTTGAATCTTAAAATGAAGAATCCATTGCATTCTTATTAATCATAGTCATTTAAAATTATTTGAAATAAAATGTAGAAATAACGATAATAATTGTATGTCCATTTTAATCTGAAGGCCAAAACAAACGACAAAATGACAGTTTGTTACTGTTGTCAACTGTTTTGGGTCTGTACACATAAATACGTATTTATCCCATTAAGGATAAGATACAGTAGCAGGTGTCTTTTTTGGGGATACGAAACGGTAGCAGATGCCTTATTAGTGCATACACTAGCTAGGTAGCATGTGTCTCATTAGTGCATACGCTAGGTAGTATGTGTCTCATTAGTGCATACGCTAGGTAGCATGTGTCTCATTAGTGCCTCAGCTAGGTATCAGGTGTCTCATTAGTGCAAATGCTAGGTAGCAGGTGTCTCATTAATGCATACGCTAGGTAGGAGGTGTCTCATTAGTGCATACGCTAGGTAGCAGGTGTCTCATTAGTGCATACGATATGCAGCAGGCGTCTCATTAGTTCATACGCTAGGTAGCATGTGTCTCATTAGCGCATACGATACGAAGCCGGTGTCTCATTAGTGCATACGCTAGGTGCCTTATGGCAAACAATACGGTAGCAGGTGCCTTATTAGAGCATGCGATACAGTAGAAGCTGTTTTATTATGGCATACGATACGGTAGCAGTTGCCTTGATAGGGCATGCGATACAGCATCAGGTGCCTTTTAAGGGTGTACGATATACTAGCACGCGCAGACAATAACGCATTCTGGATATAAGTCTTTTAAGGCTGAGCATCGCCGATTTGCAGTGTTTATTTCTTTCTTATTCAATTATTTGTTTTATTACACGATAAGAGTACTTATTACATACATCAAATTTAAACAAAGCATATGCGCACTTATTGTTTGTCTCTCGACAAGTGCAAAAAAGTTTTGACGAACTACTTTAATTTACGTTTGAAACATTTACAACTTGCAACAAAACAGTTAATCATAAGTACACACGAACTTAACCCTCTTGACAATACTAATTAAAATATTGCAGAATGTTGTCACGCTAGTCCGTCTTACATAACAAGGTAACAAAGTATAAAAGAAAAATTTTAAGAATTGAGCATTTATTCAAAATGGAACTTTCAACATTTGCTTCGTGCATTATTGTTCTAGTTGGATCAAATTTTGCCAGTGGTGCAGGTAATTTATATGCCAATATTTTAAAATTAAAATTTGATTATAATTGATTTATCATTATTTGGAAATGTATTTAAAATTCTTTAAAAAGTTGTATAGTAAAAAAGTTACGAAACCCTATTATCATGATTATGGTGTATTCGGACGTTTATCAGTGTCAAACATAGTTACGTTCGTTCGGAACTTTTCTGAATATACCTTCATTAAGTACGCCCACTGCATGTTACTTTGAGATGAACATCAGTAATAAATCGTTCGTTCATTTTTTTGGAATTCGACAATTTAAGTAATACAGTGTATCCTGTGTTTCATTTCAGGACTTCAGGTCAATTTCTCCTTTTAATAAAAATTTCTTCCGGACATTCTTTAAGTAGTGATTTAAAATAATGGACATTTAGAGAATCCCATATTCGAGTCTTTTTTGGTACACGGATTCTGACTCATAAGATTAGACAAAGCCATTTCAGATCAGTTTTCCATGAGAAAGGTGGAAAAATAATTTGATATAACTGACTGGAGTTTTTTTACTATATTTATTTTCCCTTTTCAAACCATGTCCAGTGTCAAAACGTCGACTACTCTTAAAAAGAGAAAATTTATTGTAAGCGGCAATATTTAGACCAAAATATATCTAATTGATTAGTAGTGAAAGGGAACCTTTTTGAAATCTCTTTTTTTAGGGAATATCGTAACAGGTAAAAAAATGTCCAATTTCACACAAACAAACAAAATAAAAAAAACCAGATCAATCTTAAAATCTGTAAAAACTTATTGTTTTTTCAAATATAACGCTAATTACTTATCAACACATAAGTATATAAGTGTATTTTTTTCTTGGCTATACTAGTTCACACGGTAACTTGGGTTCTTATATATCATTGGCATTCAAATATTCGGCTTTGAGCGTACCTGATGAATGTAAATTCAGAAAAGCGCTTCGGACGCATGAAAGTAATAAAGTGTTTCAATTTTTTTGAAGGAATTTTTAATGTCATTCAGTGATAAACAGATGTTCTTCATGAAATCGACACTGATATATTTACTGTCTTTCAATATCATGAAAATTGTTAAATCGTTCAAGCTACAGTTCTCTTGGAATGGTCTTTTATATCAATTTTGTCATTTAAAAAAAATGTTATTCAATTCTTTAATTCTTTTTTTTCCAAACTGTGTGAGATAAGGTGGGGCTCTGAACTAAACACAAACAATTCTTATTCTTGCAATACAGTTTATATCATGCTGTTTCAATTGTTCACTATACAAGTAGAAAAAATGCCCACTAGTAAAATACACAAATGAGGCATAAGGTCCAGTGACAAATATTTCTGTTATATTTGGGACGGAGAAAAGGGAAACCGTTTAAAAGATCTTCATTTACTATAAAAATATGTATTCAAACTTTATTTTTAGTTTTAATAATTAGTTTGTTCAAGTTTTTTTCCTATTTTGTAAATTTTTTTTAAAAAGAAAAAAAAAACAGTGCTAGTGCCTAAAAAGATTTTGTGAGGTAGAGGTAACGGTCTTCAAGTGATCAAAATGATCTATTATTTTCAAAAGTAGACAAATCAGTCATATTTAAATTTGACAACATTTGTTCACGGCTTTCGTGTGAGTTTAAAAAAAATTGAATGATAACAGCATAATAAGACTGAAAAATTCCAATTTTCTGTAAAGACACCCAAGATTTTTTTTACCTTGCGTAGACGTGCGTAAAATATAATTAAATTTTTTTTCATCAAAAAAATAACTTTACCAAAGGATGAAAACGCATAATATGTATAGTTTCTCAAAATTCAAAAGAATGGACAATTTTAACATTGATAAAACTTTTTTTGCTACAAACATTTTGAGAAAAGTTAAAAGCTAGCTAAGCGAACCTTTTATACCTTTTGTGTCGTCCATTGTCCAGTTTGGTGGTCAATCAAACTACTAATAGTGGAGTGACAAGTAAAATCAAAGCATCGTTGATGTTGTGATCCAGCCATATTCATAGCTAGTCATTCTTTCTGACCATACTTTTTTCTAAATTTTGTACTCTTTTCATTTCCAATCTTACTGTAAAATTTCTATGTTATTGTCCAAAGGTAGGGAATTTCGCAATATTGATGCAAATATAGATATATATACTGATCTTTCAATTTTAGACTCTGTCAGATTTTATTTTTGACAAGAATGGAAAGGAAAATCGTCAAACAAGTAATATATTTTTTATATGCCATTAAAAATGACAGGTTTAATAATTTTCAGAAAGAGGCCATACAAATGCACTTTCTCAACAACAAAAATTAAAAAAAATAATAATAATTTTTTATCTAAATTGGTGTTCATTCTTCATTAAGAAAAATACATTTCCTGAATTCAAATCTGAATGTACAAATACCTAATGCTGAGATATTTCCAATTAATGATAAATAGCAATATAATGAGATATAAATGTAAAACAAACAAATAAATTTTATTGCAGAAAATGCTAAGATATGAGTTATGCAGTTTTGTTTAATATTTCAACCAAATTTCTGATAATTGTAACTAATTTATTAGAACTTGATTAGTTTCTTATGTCAGATGATAATGGCACTGATTTTACAAATAGAATAAAATTTGCTTGCATTTTTTATACATATTTTTTTCATTTTAAGTTTTTTCTTTGAAAAAAAAAACACATCAGATTAATCATCCAGCTAGCTAGCAAAATTAACAGAATATTTTAATGTAGTGTAGATCAAAATAAATAATACATTTGTGGGTTTACTATTGAGGTCAAGAATGTGTGTATTGAGTTAGTTGTGTAATAAACTGTGTCTATTTAATTATGTAACAGGTCATGAAATATTAACTGTTTTGAATTAAGCCTGGGGTTGTTTCTAATTAATACTTATTTGAAAATCATGACAGTTGAAAAACATTCTGACTCTTACTTGCCTATGGAAAGAATTGGAGTAATACCATTTCAAAAAAGTGTGGGAATCAACTTAGATATATTAATACACATGTTGACCTACATTTCACTGAACAATAATTTAAACAAGCACAAGATACTAATATAAAACTTTCAAAATTCTTATCAACTGATTCAATTGATGTACAAATACTTTTTCAAATTAATTCATAAATGGTAAATCATCATAAATTTTGATTTAGAAAGGAACTATATACAAGTGTATATCTAAAATAAAGTCACTATTCGACCAATCTTTTCTTAATTCAAGGGCAAATAACATGTCAAAAGTTTGCAGTTGATGATTAAAATGGTGTAGAAAGTTTCTGCAAGTCATAAAAACACATATTTAGTTTCATGATATGTCTTCAACTTAGTATTCTGCACCATCTCTAAAACCAGAGTGATCGCATAGATACAGCATGGCTGAATCAAAAAGTAGTCGTTTAATGGACCGACTTACCTTACGGCTGAAAATCTACATAAGGACAGAGTAAACATCATACTATCATTTTAGCTCTGTCGTAGAGTTTTCTTATAGTGCAGACTTTTGTAAAATCGCGATAAAGTGTGACTTTTCGATTTTTTAGTTTTTCATCATCGAAACCGCAAATTAACATGTTTTCAGATAACAATACCTTTTTTCATTTAAAAGGCATAATCGTATTCTAAAGATTTAAATTTTTCACGAATGTTAAACTATGATATATTAATTATAAGAACATTGTTTTAAAATATTTATATCTTAAATCAAAAGTTTGACAAAACATACAAATTTAACTTTCACGAGCCTTTTTGATGTACTCATCATATATCAGTTTACCTGTTTATTTTTTATCTCAAATATTCATGAAGAATAATTCCCTTCTCCATTTTTGCCTTACTCATGGATTGCATTGTAGTTGACAATGAATTAAATTGAATTATGTCTTGATTTCTGCAAATAAGAACATAAATGTGCATTATTTTTGTGTCTAAATAATTGGCTTAGCACAGTTTTTAATTTTAGTAGCGTTTGAAGAATTTTATTCTTAAGTTTTACGGAGAGATTAATTCTATTCCACATCGGAATAGAACCAGATTTATACGAAAACTGTTCAGCATTTCTGTTAAATTTGTTCGCTCAGTGCCAAAAAGATTATAATCAAATGTAATGGGAATTATGCACTTTGCTAAATTGTTATCACTTAAAATTTGTCAAAAGCAACAGAAAAGTGGAATAATACACTTTTTGAGGCAATAGATGTGCGATAAGATAGTGTATATTGCCGTGTTCATGACAAACTCGATTCAACCTCCATACATAACTTTAAGAAAAAGGAACTGTACCATTCAGCATCCATTGTCAGTTACTTACTGAACCGGAAAAAAAGGAACTTGCTACTGATGATTTACATGACTCTGAGCATAGTGTTGCCACTGATGATTTACATGACTCTGAGCATAGTGTTGCCACTGATGATTTACATGACTCTGATCATAGTGTTGCCACTGATGATTTACATGACTCTGAGCATAGTGTTGCCACTGATGATTTACATGACTCTGAGCATAGTGTTGCCACTGATGATTTACATGACTCTGAGTATAGTGTTGCCACTGATGATTTACATGACTCTGAGCATAGTGTTGCCACTGATGATTTACATGACTCTGAGCATAGTGTTGCCACTGATGATTTACATGACTCTGAGCATAGTGTTGCTTTTTAAAGCATAACACAAAGTCAATACGACGATCTGTTTTAGATAAAACAATAATTTTTTTATGTGGTTCTTGCTAGATAAATTTGTTCCATTTTTTCAGAATTAATTGATATTAACCGCTAAACTGCAAGTGCAGATTAGAAAATCATAATAGGGATTCCTTTGTGGTTCAAATTTAAAAAAAAATCTGTGGGAATCAAATATTATTTTCAGTATTCCAGTTGGTGTTTCCGAGGTTATTCTGTTACCCGGGTCTGGTTGGTACCTGGGAAAGAATAAAGAATTATAAATACATTTTCATAATATTTATTTTACATATGGCATGTCGGTTTATCAGCAATATAATGATAAAGCCCGAT